AAATGAATGTTGTATGATTGTTGTTATACCTAATTGAAAAAAGTAGTCGTGTTCGAAAAGGTCACATCATAGAAGCTAAGACCGAAAGGGATTTTGAGTACCACTAAATTGGGATTTCATTTTCATATACGGTGTACACTAAGCAAGTAGAGCTAGTAAGATTAACAGCATGATAGTCTTTTATACTGGAGAGCTGTTTGTTATGAAATTAGCCAAATTGTTTGTCTTCCCAAATACCCTTTCGGTCTTAGCTTCTATGATTTGACCTTCTTGGACCCGAGAACGTTTCTTCAATTAGGTGTATATTAGTTATACTAGAGAGTTTGTTTCATGTGTTACCTGCATTACTTCAGGAACAGCACCAACATCCATTTTATCAAAGTCCAGTTCACTAGAATCCTTCAGCTTCTTGTAAGCCTTACCAAAAGTCATCCATTTATTAACATTGCCCAAAATATCTTGCAAAGTACCAGTGTTGCATTTTGTCGCAAAATGTCCAACTGTTTCAACAGCAGCACCAAGAGCTGCGAATGGGTCTTTTCCCATGGCACCACTGGCAAACCCAGTTATGCCTTGGAGCATTGCAAGCATGTCCTGTTTGGTAAACTTTGACGCCTTATGCACGTCAGGGATTTGATTGACTACGTCCGCTAAAAGACCCTCCATGCTGGATTCCAGTTCCTTTATAGCCTGTGAAATTATTTTTTTTTTAAGCCGATGAATTATACTGATCATTAACTTGAATTTGAACGCAATGGTTGAAATAAGGAAGAAATGAAATCCGATAGCCTTACCGGTACGTAGGCCTCTTTCTCGGTTAGTGATATCCTCCTTGCTTCAATAAGTCTTTCTTTTTCTTTGCTAACTTGAACCACGGCTGACTGAGGAAGTGCTCTCAGTATCTGCCTTATACCATCCCCCCTTTCTATAGATGCCTTGATTTCATTATACGCAGTTTCATAATCTCTGGCGTAATCCCTAATTTGTTCTACATGTTGCCTGAAAGCTTCATATTTCATCAATGGGGCAAATAACTTATTTCTTCCAAATCTGTCAAATCCTTCCTTGTTGAAAAAGGCCAACCTGTGCTTTGCAACTGAAAAAGRATCACGGACTAAATACTATACGTAGTATAGGGTCTCATTTCTTGGAATTATCTTAACACCTGCGACCGAATATGAAGCTACATCTGTGGGACCATAAAACAAGGGATCGAAATTTCCAAGAAAATATTTAGCATCAAAATATTATTAATATATAATACATAAATATAATTTAAAAATATTTTTGTTTCGTCCTTGAGTTGAAGGCCTTATTGGTGAGTTTATGGGAAAATAGAAAATAAAAACCGTAACTGACTATTACATTAACTGACAACTTACATTTTTTAAGGCTCTTTGCATCTTCTCTCCCTGCTGCCAATCGAACTACAAATTGAAACACTGATCTTGCCACTCCAAGATCATTCGCCCAGACACGGTCTTCGGCCAATCTTGTCATGAGTTTGATTAAAGCTAATGGATATCTTCCTCTCGCCTTCTCCGTTAGTGGCCTTTTAAGAAGATAATAACTTTCAACTTCGCCGTCTGCGCCAGCGTCAACCAAGCCTAAATTTGAAGGGATCAAAAGAGGACACTATCATCATTCTGAATTGTTGGGGAGCCCGTTCCAACAAGATGTCTTGATAAAAAAAAGAACACTTTTTTGGAGAATGACTTTGAAATTATTCTACCTTGTCCGTTTTGCCCTTTACTCCCCGTGTCTCCTCGGGGTCCTTGACCTAATGCTCCATTGGTGTTACAGCCACTTGAACATGAAGCACCACTCCAACTACAACGCTCCCAAAATCTGCACTTAATTCCATTTCCTCCTTGTCCTCCGAGACCCCCTAAAATTTGATTAAAACCATATTAAAACGAAGTTAGAAGTACTTGGAGTGGCAAGATCAGWAAACTTTCGATAACTATGTACAAAAGAACGCACACGATGCTCCGGGAAAACAATGTATAATCCTTTTATTTCCCCGGAGCCTCGTCTACAATTCTTTAGTGCATGGACACTGAACAAAAATATCTAAAGTTGGGTATTATATGGTGCATTTTATGGTTCAGACAAGTTGAGAGTTTTTTTAAAAGGCTTTGGAAAGGTYGAAAGGAAATGAATAACATCTTACCGGCTCCACCTTCTCCATTTACAGATGCCTGACCTCCACTTCCACGGCAGGCTTTAAGCTCTATTTTTCCTATTATGTTTTTGACATAAATAGATTGTTGACCAGCGTTTCCTCCACTGCCTTTAAGATATATTAAAACACATATGATTATGTGATGATGGCGAAGCAGATCAATAGCTTTCTTCAAAATAGTTTAGAAGTGTACCAAATGACAATGGTAATATGAGATCTCTCAATCTCTGTCAACTTAAAACTTAACAACAGCTAGAGACAGTGGATAGGTTTATACCATAGAATGAGTATTTCATGTTGAAAACAAAGTTATTACTACTGCCTTATAGTGGCTTGTGCAACAGAGTTTTCTCCGCCTGACAATGAACTCTAATTAAGCAGAGCTTCATGGGATTGACACGTTCAACACAACTGTACAAGATTGCATGAGAATAGCAGGCCCTTCGATGATATGCTGGTTGCAATGACTATGATTTAGTCATGTATCTCACTAACCTGATCTTCCAGCGTATCCACCCGTGCCGCCATTGCCTCCTCTTATCCCCTTTAGTCCATTAACATTATTGCAGCCTGTGATTCGGAAGTAACCTCTCCTTGCATGATTTTTACAGTCAGTTCCTGACCTGTTCGGTTGCTATGAAAGTAGAACCAAAAAATTTCAATTAATCTCGCCAGTAGCATAAGTAGTGAACAATACGTAATCGCACTCTAACTTATTAGGAGATCAATAAATATTGTAGAATGATAGCATTGTTACCCTATGTTGGCTGTCGGCTCCTCTTCTTCCTGGTGCACCATTTTGACCTCTGTTTCCATTTCCTCCACTTGACTCAATATTTAAGTAGCCTCGTGATGAATCGGCAAAAATATCAACTACAAAGAAGATAAAAATCATATATTCATCATTCACTTGTATCAGTTGGAGATAAGGTTTGTGTTTCCTTGCACAACTTCTTCCTTTCGAGATTTTTGTGTTCTCCTTTTTGAAAAATCATCATCTCTCCTTCCTGAAGATCGTCCTAGATGCGCCTCTTATTGTATGTTATGATTTCATGAAAAATGCATGTTTAGATGACAGACAAACCTTTTGGTCCGTTAACACCGTGTTTGCCGTCGTTTCCATCTTGCCCAGCGCTTAATGTGGGGTTAGTTTGCGATAGAACAGGAGCTCTGAGATCCAGTTTACTGTTCTTTAAAAAGATTACTTGGCGACTGAACATCGTTAACTTACTTATACCGCGCATTTGGACGACTCCCTGCAAGTTTATRTAGAACACATGTAAWTTACCTATAATAACCTTCCGTTGTCTCCACCAGCGACACCATAATCGCTTCCACCACAATCACCACCACAKCCACGAGTACCGCTGCTGTCAATATCATCATCATCACCACAAGAACACTACAACAACACTACTAGGCCGGATTTCGTATGACTGCACAAAGGCGGGGAACATGACACAGAAGACAAATCACGGTCACGGAACCTCGTCAGGCACTGACTTTAAATTATGATATCAAAAGAGATTCAAGAATCTATCACCGTCACGGTACTTTAAASTCAAAGACCTCCACCTTGCAACGGTCACAGCCGCTGTATGACATGTTTATAATGAAAAAATAACAATATGGCAACATACGCGAACATAGATGGTATCGGCGAGCACTTCAAGTTCGATGTTGTTAGGACGTATTTGAGTGTCTCCAAAATCCACTTCTTCCTTTGTCCTCAGATGTTCTTTAACGTAATCCATGTGAACATTTCGACCCAGTACTTGATAGCGCTCTGTTGAATGATGCACAGTTATGACACATCATTAGGACATAAAACGACAAGCCTTTCACAGTTAAACAACATGGCACAATATAGGTAAAGAAAATCAAGAAAAAAAGCCCAATAAAATGAGTGATTTTCTTTTTTCGCTTTGATTTCGAATGTATATTCGACTTTATACTGACGCTAGCATTCCAAATTGACTTTTACCGTTAAACTGTGAAAAGGTCGAAACGAAACGTACATTAAAGAGTAGAAAATCAAGTTGCAAGTTGTGTGCCTTTTTTTTCAATGTATTCATTTATAAATATACATATGCATTGTCTTACTCGATAGAACGCATCCATAAAACTCTGCTCTCATTGAGATATGACCTTCCCATTCGACGGGCTTTATCTGTACATATCGGGCTTTGATTGTTCCTTGCAGGAAATGTTTAACAACGGTGTTCTGATCAGTATTCCCCTCGAAGATCTGAAAACAAGAGGAGAAAATAACGTCAATTTATGTGATCCATCAAATGTTGTCAAGTCTCAAACATACTAGACAGAAATTCAAATTCGCAGTGTAAATAATACTAGCAACAACACTTGCAAAGTAGGAGACTACTAGATATTTTGTCATGTAGCTTTAGGCACCACCTCAGTTGAAATACTCATAATGTATGATCTTTTATCTTATAAAAAGTTGAATGTACATTTTCACCTTATCGACTCCATTTTCTTGATAAGTTTCGAAGGCAGGCGAGGAGCCATCGGGACTATATGTCAGCTTGTACTTTGTCACCCACTGAGGAGAATCTGGTCGACCTTGTGTTGCAAATTTTGTAAGTTTCACGTCTCGAAGAAAATCAACTTGGAGGTATTGATTTTCGTCATTGGTTGCTGCTGACCAGGAACCAGTCCTTCCTCTTGCCCTTGCGAAATTTAGCCTGCCATTCTCTGGACCGTGGAATTTATCATACGATGAAGAGGTGTCCTTGAGCTGCTGTCTTGTTATTAGACCGCTTTCCATGCCAAGAGGGTCTTGACCTTTGCATCCTAAATAATTGATGTGAACAAATTCAAATAAGACTTATCTTTCGCAGCCCTATTGAAGTCCCCATAAACTATTCACGAGGTATCTAGTTAATGGCATGGCTTAGCCAGTTTTCTTCCTGTTTCCACTCTGTGTTTACAACCCAACAACCCACAATCTAAAGAAGCACTATCATACGTTGAGAATACTTCTTGACACGCAATTGCTGAGAACATTTTTGAATGGCAAATATATTTTTGATCTGGTAGAAAGGTTCAAGGTTTGAACACAAAGTTGGCTACATTTAATGAATTCAAACCAAATATAACGTCATTTAAGAAAAGCACTATTTTTCTTGCTTGAATCAAATGCATTACCTGATGACAAGGTCACAAATGATGGCGTCTCGTACCATTTCATAGGAACATCTGTGATATCCTCATTGAACGACTCATCTCCACGTGTCATAATCGCACACGATCCATCATTTTCTACAGCTGTGAATAAAAGTTCTTCCATAGTGAAATGAGGCTGAATAAAATATCCATCCAGGTATAATGGTCGATTTCCACAGTGGAATTGAATGGCTTTCCCAAAGGAATATCATTGCATGAGTAAATATGATTTTCGACGTATTTTAATTGAAAGTTGAATAACCACTAGTTTGCGTCTGCCTTGTGAAAAATTTAGGATTATCCTTAAATCGGAGAAACAAATTGTTAGCTTTCTGAAAATGACAGATTTTGGCGCTTCCTAGCTTCCTATTTTTAACTTTTGTTGTTCATTTAGCACATTAAAAAGGCACATTGCGATTAAGCTTGATACGCAAAAGAAAATAATACCTGCTAACACTTTTCATCAAGCAGGTGAAAGTGTCCTCTTCACACCTTTAAGCAACCTGCACGTTATTTCCATCTTCTTCAAATAAGCATTCAAAAAACAGTTTCGTATATGCTTTGGTTCCTTGCCAAGTAAAATACATTAAGATACTTCTTAATGATACTTTATAATGTCAATTCACTATCTACTGTATCACACAAATGATCTATAAATGCTTGCGCTACCTTGTCCATTTCCAGGAAGAAGAGTAGAAAAGTCGGCGTTGATAGGAATTGGAAAAGATTCATGGTAATCCTTATCCACTTAAACTTATTAACTAGTAAAAGCTAAAGTAATTCTTATTTGATGCAATCAAAAAGATTGAGTAGCAGGCAGGTAAAGGAACTCTCAACCGCTAGTCGGCGGTGATTTAAGTTGAATGCCACCACTGGATTGATTTGCCTTGTGAAAAATATAGGATTATCCTTAATTCGTAGACAAACAAATTGTTAGGGTTAGGAAAATGACAGATTTTGGCGCTTCCTAGCTTCATATTTTTAACTTTTGCTGTTTATTTAGCATATTAAAAAGGCACATTGCGATTAAGCTTGATACGTAAAAGAAAATAATACTTGCTAACACTTTTCATCAAGCAGATAAAAATGTCCTCTTCGCACCTCTCCTTTTTTAATGACACCTTTAAGTAACCTTGACGTTATTTCCATCTTCATGAAATAAGCACTCAATAAACATTTCGTATATGCTTGGGGTTCCTTGTCAAGCAAAATTCATTAAAACTATCAAGAATAGGTGTTCCAATTGGAAGTATTTTCAATTCAAATGGTAGGAATGATCACGAGAAATACTTCGTTCTCTTCGTTCTTTGTGAACTCTTGACCTCCTTAATTAATTTTAAGCCCTTAAAGATAGTATAAAAAGACGAGGAAGCAATGGTTTTTAAAATAGGTAAGACCATGTTATTGTTCTCGAAGTCAATATCCTTCACGTTAATAAAATATCCAACCAATTTGTCATATATTCTTTGCAAAACARTGATAACAAATGCTAGTGCCTTCTTTTCAATAATCTCCCAGTTACCACCCATATTCAAGGTGCACTAATCCAAAGTTATGATTAAGTCGGTTGTTGTTTAGTTATAGATGTTCGTTGCTTTTTTTTCAGTAGACTTCTTAAGATACTTTATAAATGTACACTGTAAATTCACTATCTACTGTATCACATATGATCAATGAATGATCGCGTTACCTTGTTTACCCTGTCCCATTCCCGTRTCCAGGAAGAGAAGAAAATTCAGCGTTGATAGGATTTGGAAAAGATTCATGGTAATCCTTATCCGCTTAAAATTATTCACTGGTAAAAGCTAAATTAATTCTTAGTTGATGCAATCAAAAACGATTGAGTAGCAGACAGGTGAAAGAACTCTCGACCGCTAGATGGCGGTGATTTAAGTTGAATGTCAAGAAAAGTACGTACCTAAATATATATATAGACTATTATTCTAGTTTCCGAATAAGGTATTGCAGGAACTATATGCCTATGATTTCCAACAATGATTTACCAGTCAAGAATCTGAACAGAGTTTCTATTGTATTTCACGAAACGCTTCATGAGTTGAATCATGAATAAAGCACAAAATCTAATAATATATAACTCAGTTAAATACAAGTTAATAGTCAACAGAAATATAAAAGAACATTATAGAAAACAGATTACATCTTTGTAGATGCTTAGACATACATGTACTTTGGTMTGRGTTGTTCAAAGCCTGATTAGCGTCAATCTACTTTTAACCCTGATGACATACCTGTAGATACCCGTGTAACATCCATTCAACAACCAGTTATGTATTGTCTTCTCTCAGTAGATATCTAACCGGTACCAGTCTCTTCTTGAACATACAAATTGCAATACTTTTTTTAAGGGTTAATCAATTGTTAAAATCAGGTTTTTCRCTTTCACAGAAAGATAGATATTTCGAAATTCTGATGAGAAGTTTTGAAAACGAATGGTAATGCAAGCCACCCAATAGCCRATTTGTGAATTTCGCTCCAGTTGTCAAACACAAAAGAATCAAGGCGAGGCGCCGTACGTAAAGCTCAGTCAATCGTGAAAAACTATTGTCTTTTCACGAATGACTGAGTTTATACACGGCGCCTCGTCTTGATTCCTTTGTGTGTGACTACTGAGTCAAAACTCGCAAGTCGTCTATTGAATGTCAATTAAGAAATAATAAGAAAATTGAAAGATCCGGTATTTCTCTTTTTTTTCCTCAATTTTAAAATTATTTTGTTATGAACTGGTTTTGAGGTTATTTTGTTATGAAGTTCTCATTCTAGCAGCCAGTTCTTACACGCCATACATGTTCACTGAACTAATTTATTAAACATTTAATTTAGGCCCGCATTATGAAAGAAACGAACCCCCCATTTTTAAAGGGACACTGTCAATGGATGACATGCGCGAGTAAACTTGAAAACACTAGGCTAGTGTTTTCAAGTTWATGACTCCAAGTTGGCGCGACATAAATCAGMTCGTAAACGTAAACAGATCTAGAATAYTCCAAAGTGTGTCAAAAGCACCACAAAATGATTTACCTCGAAGGTTATACTTTCAAAGTCCGTTAGAGGTGAGACTGTTACTGCGCATGTCATCCATTGACAGTGTCCCTTTAAGGCAGCCTACGAGCCTGCCATCGGTTATTATTTACAGGTGAAACTATAAGTAATGATGATGTGGCCTGGACTGAGAACTTTACGTTAAAGATTTGCTTCATTTCCATCAATTATCAATCACATTTATAATATTCCGTAATATTATCTTAACGTTTATTCCTCGATCATTCGACATTATTTAGCTTTATAATTCAAAGTTAGTCGCCCTTGAAGGRGTTCTGGCATAGTCTTATCTCTCTTCTTTGCATGGATTGCACATTGTGGATCATCTGGTCCTGTTGGATAGTGATCACTCCAGTACATAGAGCGAATCCAAACATTCATCTTGGTGTAAAGAGATCGCTGTAAAAAAAAAGACATGTTAAAACTTCCAATTAACACAATCACAAATATTAAAATGCAGAAATGGATAAAAAATGTATAGTCAACGGATGCTCGGATACCGGTCACAAAAAAATTACCCCTGATTCCAAAATAAAGCTGATCCATCCCTGACCTATTTACCATGTCTCGCTGAGATTATCCAAAGGTAATAAAAAAATCAAAATGATATAGGAACTTAAAATCTGAAGTCAAAAGAAGTAACATAAAACTAACATCAAAGTCCTTGCAGTTTTTATTAGCCATTTGTGAGCCACCACATTCGGCTTTTTCATCTTTTGGCATTTTTATCGAGTAAGTACCAAAGACACTTTGACATTCTGCCGATCCAAGGAGTGCATCATCACAGGGTGTATTGCTAAGGAAATGGCAGCACATTGGTTGCAATCTACTGTCTTCTTCATTCATGCAGTACAGAGAATCACCTGAAATCACATGAACAATATTATAATCACAAGAGCAGACTTTTTATTATACAATCTCCCTGATGAACACTGCAATTTTCACATTTATGGAGAGTAAGTTTAGTTGATATTAAAAGCAAAATCCGCTCATAAAAATAGTATTCCATAATAAAACTCACTAATTCCTTTCTGTTTTTCTTCGTTACATTTCTCTTCATTGGTAATAACTAAACGGTCGAACGTGAACCCTCGCCAAGACGTCTTAGATAATTTCTGTCGAAATTGTTTGATATCTCCAGTTGCATTTCTAAAAAAGGAGKCTCCTTCGTGTCTGACATCTAAATGGACCTCAGCTGGCATGTTATTTTCTTCCTGGGTGGTATCTCCATAGAACTCAATATACATCTGTATGGAAAACCATCTGCGTTAGTTCGATTATTATGCAAAGATGRTGATGATCATAATTGTGATGGCGATATCGATGGTGTTGGTGACGATGACGGTGATTAGAATTATTTCCGAATCGGCCGTGRATTGTTGAGTTGAGCGACAGGTAAATGACTGAGTAGTTGAAGGATGAATTTAACAAATAGATCTCATTTTTCCGTGCGTGTGTACTCTAATAGATACACAGATGACGTCAAAATGTAGTGAGAAYAAAAAAGTACGCACGAGACGCAGTCGAGWGCGTGACTGTTGTTCTCACTACATTTTGACGTCATCTGTGTATCTATTAGAGAACACACGCACRGAAAAATGAGATMTATCTGTTTTATACAACAATCAATTAGKTTTGACGTAATCCGTGTATCTATACTTTGATAACACACGAAAGCCAACCAATCAAAACGTCTGATTTTACTGAAAAGTTGTATAAAGAAGGATATATGATGAGAAGGGTAATTATTACTTGCACTCATGGATATCATCAATATGGATATTAACATAAACAAAAGAATGGATCGGAAGAATATMTTTAAAAATATTGGATTGTTTTATGATATATTCGTTACAAACTTCAGTATCYTGATCCTTACCTCCAAAAGACGGACATTGTAGCACGATGAACAACTCTTGTCTATTCCCAAGGTTAGTCTTGTCAAACCAGTTTGATGAAGGTCTTCAAACAACTAGAGAAGCCAGCWGACATGTCAGGATTTTAACTCACTGAACGTTTTATGKTGTTGATGTTGAYTATTCAGCTTTAGTTGCTGTGACTAATGCTATTCCTTATACAAATGCAGCAGCTAACYTTATATCTTACTAAATTAAAGACTTAGGTCTCTCAATAACAATAAATTGTTATTGCAAAGAGCTATAACATTAMATTGCAAGGTAACGCAGATATATCACTGTCAACGAAATACTGACTTCTATAGAAAACATACCAAAGGATGCTCTTCTTTATTGTAAGACCATTTGTGTAGATTAGTCCTATAAATAAACTTTGAAAAACACTGTCTTCCTTTACTCTCGAGTTCAGTTATCGTCCGGAGAGCGTTGGTCAGTTGTACAACGCCTTGAAGTTGCCCATTGTTGSGTGCTKCTTCACTTGCGGCTCTTTCAAACCCAGTCAACTTGTCACTAACATCCCACAGCGAACGGAACTCAAAGCTTTTGTAAAACAAGTACAGCTTTTTGGAAAAAGTAGTTTCCATTTCCTGATAAGAGGTCAAGAGATCGTCAAGAAACATCTGTTGGATGTGATCTTCAATCGGAGATTCTAGTATAGAAATCAATAAAATAATATGAACTTTTCTTTTCCTCAATACCYTGGATATCTGTGAAGTGCGATTATYTTTACCTCCAATATTTGCAAGACTTTGAATCTCATCAGCTGTTTGTTCGAGATTTGGAATGTCAAAGTTGTATCCCCCGATCTCATTGTCTAAATCAATGACTTTTGCGATGAGATCAATCCTTGCAGATCCAGCAATGAAGAACCGCTCCATTTTTTCTTTGAACTTGGCTGTCACGGACTCTGGTAAGCTTTGCTCGAGCAGACATGTTAGGTCAGAGGYMAGACCTTCCTTGTTCATTTCGAGGTTGGCCTTTATATCAACACATTAATATATTAACCTATTAATATATTAACCTATATTTTAATTCCCAAAATAGTACAATAGGAAAAACTTTTCAAGGCAGCACCTTACCTTCATCACTTCTGGAACAGCACCTACGTCCATTTTATCAAAATCAAGCTCACTAGAATCCTCAAAAGCTTTATATTCCTTACCAAAAGTTAACCATTTGTTTAGGTTTGCTAGATTGTCCTGAAGTGTTCCAGTGTTGCACTTTGTGGCATAATGCTCAGCAACTCCAATAGCAGCACCAATAGAATCAAAAGGRTCACTTTGAGCGATACCACTGAAAAATCCAGTTACACCTTGTAGAATTGCAAAGAAATCCTGTTTTGTGAATWTGGTGTCGCCTTGTATATCAGGTAGCTCAGTCAGCATGTCTTCTAGGCTCCCCTTCATGCTGGATTCTAACTCCTTGATAGCCTAACAATATCGATGATGTCAAATACCTTTCAGTTGCTCATCAACAACTGATGATACAAAGGTCACAAAATCAAAAAAATAGATTATAAACAAAAACTAAAGCAGCGTTCATCGGAAGCACATTTCATCTTGTGCAGCCCTAAATCCATTTTTATATCTTTTCTTATGTTTTGGACCCTCCTCCCCCTCTTTGTAACGTTCGGGTTACGCCAATAAAGGTCAATTCATCTGCATGGATTGACATAATGTTGCATTTTCGTGCAATGAGGGATACTTACCGGCACATACGCATTTTTCTCGCTAAGGGCAATTCTCCTTGCCTCGATAAGCCTTTCCTTTTCTTTGCTAACTTGGAGTGCAGCCGCCGGCGGTAGTGCTTTWATAATTTCTTTTGTATTTTCGCTTGCCATTATCGATGCTTGTAATCCATTGTAAGCAGTTTCATAATCRCTGGCGTAATCTCGAATCTGTTCTACTTCAAGCTTAAAAGCCTCCCACTTTACAAGAGGGACAAACAATTTGTTCTTTCCAAATCTGTCAAATCCTTCTTTGTGGAAAAACGTCAACCTTTGCTTCGCAACTTGATTCAAACAAAATGGCAATTTAACGGGCTATTGACTGAGATGATGATACTTATTTGAGGAATATCAGACATCCATAATGAACAAGGATAACATCCCTAAACTGAAAACTGGATATAACTTAAGCTATTCTTAGTGCAACCAACCCTAGATTGCTAAACATTTTGTCGGAAAGCTCGTCTGCCTACAGTAGTTACCAAAATAAACATTATACTGGTAATTAATGGATAAACATACTAGACAGTTAGACATACTTTTTCTTTGCCTTTGGGCATCTTCCCTCCCTTCTGTTATCTTAACAACGAAGGTCAACACTGCTTCGGCCATTTCAACATCATCCGCCAAGATACGGTCCTCYGCTAGCCTTGTCATCAGCTTGATTAGAGCCAGTGGATATCTGCTTTTTGCAGTAGAACTTAGCCAGGCTTCTTTTCGCAGAAAAGAGTTCTCTGCCTGTCCGTTTGATCCAGCGGCAACCAAAGCTAAATTAAACATCAAAAAACATTTTTATTGCAAGTATCAAGTTTACTTATTTTCGCATAAATAAATTACTATTTAGTAATTACTAATTATTCACGTAGTTTAGTATAATTACAAAGGTTCCACTATCGATTTAAGCGAACGTGCAAGTAGCTTTTGACGTAGCTCAAAATGGGCTATAGTACGTCACAAAAGTATTTTGTTCCTTCACTATGATATTAAAGAAACGGMAATAAATAAATAATTATTTTTTACTTTGCCCATCTTGTCCTTTATTGCCTGTATCTCCTTGGGGTCCCTGGGATAGATGACCATCTGTCTTACAGCTGCCGTAGCATCGACTCCGTCCGCATCTCTCTGAATATTTGCAACGTATTCCTCTCCCTCCCTGCCCTCCGAGACCCCCTGTAAATGAAATGTGATTTTTAAAAAAATTATTGGTGCAAAATTATTGCCTATTTTAAAGTCTCTTAATACTTGGTTCGTGTTACTGTAAGTATATTTTTATRAGTTCTCCTTAACTGTGAGATGATGATTTGTATCATAGTTGTATGATTTGTACTTTAAGTTTAAGTATTTTCTTTGATAAGAWTTACCAGGTCCTCCTACTCCATTTAGAGCTGCTTGGCCTCCGGTTCCACGGCATGTTTTTAGTGAAAGCGTTCCTTTTAGTTCTCTGATGTAGATTGTTTGACGACCGGCGTTACCTCCATTGCCTTTTAAAACGAAATCAAAACCAAAATTATAGATTTTATTATATGTCTTATTAAAACCGGCTATTACTATCGATTTACGAAAAGCCGTTGTCTCAGGGGATGCTATCGTTTGTGCTTCACTGTAGTTTATAGAAAGATGGATTGAAAGTTTGACTTCTACAATCGTTGAAAAAAGAATTATTTGTCTCCAACCTAACATTTCCCTCCGTTTTTTCACAGTTCTTTCCCTTAGTCCCCTTCATCATAATTGGGTCATGTCTTGGATGGTTGTGGTAACATGCTCAATGAAAACATTGCATTTAAGGGGTCAGGTGAGATTAAATTCAGGTTTGCGGGTGCTGCTTAAAATGAGGAAATTCGCTGGAATAGTCCAAGAATTTTATCAACGATTGTAGGCATCACAATACCAAGTGACTAACCTGATTTCCCAGCATATCCACCATTGTCACCATTGGCTCCTTTGACGCCCTTTGCCCCATTGACATTAYTGCAGCCATATACACCAGAATAGCYTCTTCTTGCATKACTGTCACAATCGCTTTGTGTCTTGTCCGGTTGCTATATATTGTAGTCTTTTTTAGTATTTATCAATAATAGATTTGAATATACATCTATAAACATTCTGCCCGTATACTTGTCTTTGGAAAAACTAACCATTTAAAGTGTTTGCCAATCAAGAGAGACGGAATTATATGCTTACCTTACTTTGGCTATCAGCACCTTTCTTTCCATTTGCGCCAYTTTGACCGCTGTTTCCATTTCCGCCGCTTGACTCAATATTCACGTATCCAGAAGCGATGTCGGCATAGATATCGACTAGCACCAAACTTATAAGCATTAAAAACGGCTACTGATTAAAATCCCCMCAAACATATTCCTATAAGTTTACCTGTTGGTCCATCTACACCATGCTTTCCGTCGTTCCCACTGTCACCAGAGTTTAACGTGGGATTATCTTGGTTAAGATCCGGAGCTCTGAGGTCGAGCTTACTGTCTTTGACAAAAGACACTTTTCGACTTGTCATCGTTAGTTTKTTCATACCACGCATTTTGATGTCTCCCTGAGAAGGCATCCATAGATTGTTTAAATGTAGGAATTATCTCTATGATGAAAATAAAAAGTTAAGTGTACGYACCTTAACGTAAATAGTATCAGCAAGAACTTCAAGGTCAATGTTATTAGGACGGTCCTGTGTGTCTTCAAAGTTAACGCCCTTYTTGGTTGTAAGGTACTCTTGTACGTAGTCCATGTGAACATTGCGACCCATTACTTGATAGCGGTCTTTAAAAGCAATACAAATTAATAAAAAGAAGCTTGCCATAAGCTAACGTATATATATACACATTATTTTGATTCTTACCCGACAAGACGCACCCATAGAACTCAGTTCTCATTGACACATGACCATGRAATTCTATTGGCTTTATCTGTACATATCGAGCTGTGATTGGCGATGCCAGGGTATTAGTGACAATCGTGTTTTGATCTGTATTTCCAATAAAGACCTTGAAAAGATGAAGGTAATTTTAACTATTTTAGAACTCAGTTCTCATTGACACATGACCATGAAATTCTATTGGCTTTATCTGTACATATCGAGCTGTGATTGGCAATGCCAGGTTATTAGTGACAATCGTGTTTTGATCTGTATTTCCAATAAAGACTTTGAAAAGATGAAGGTAATTTTAACTATTTTCCTCGCCTAATGATTCTTCCCTACCTAGTTGCCTATATCTTTCACATATCATTCTGTCTAAAAAAAAAATAACCCCCTATACCTTATCAACTCCATTTTCCTGATACGTCTGAAAGCTAGACGACGAACCATCGGGACTATAAGCCAGTTTGTACTTTGTTACCCACTGGGCGGCGTCTTGTCGACCTTGTGTCGCAATTTTTTGGAGGTTGACATTTTGAAKAAAATCCACCTGAAGCCACTGGTTTGCGTCTTTTGTTCTAGATGACCAAGAMCCTTTTTTACCTCTGTCTTTKGCAAAGTTAAGTCTGGCATTACTTGGTCCATGGTAAGGGTCCCACATTGARGATGCACTTATYTGCTGTTTTGTGATTCGACCATTTTCCATGCCAAGAGGATTATCACCAGTGCACTCTGACAACAAGAGTATAATGCAGAGACTTTAATTAAGGATTTCGACTTGGAATTAAGCAGGCCTTAATACAAAGGYGAAGATGTGTAGCACTACTATAGTTGCTCGCAAGAAAGGCTGAGGTCTGGTCAAAAAATTTCGTCGGATTGGAGCATAATGAARTGACGCTTGATCAAATAGAMATAACTTGTTTGGGAGGTGAGAGGCCACTTCATTGCATTGGTTATCTCGTTAATTTATAGTAATTACAAGGAATTGCTAATATTTACCTGGCGAAAAGGTGACAACTGAAGGCGTTTCATACCATTGCATGGGAACGTATTTGATGTCCCTATTGAATGACTGATCACCATCGGTCAAAGCAATGCATCCGCTATCTACATCTTTTAAAAAAAATAAAACAATCATTTTCAATGAATATTGCACATTATTATCATTGTATTGAGACAGTAATCTTTCTGAACTATTGTACAGTAATGGACATAAA